TTCATGTCACAAACTTTATTCAGGATTGGTAGGTGAAGGAAAAGCTTTGGGCAGAACACTCAAAAACAATTTGGTATTGGGCCAATGCTCAGATCGTGTTGGGCCATGGCCCACTGGCCTCCCCTGTAGTTACGCCTATGCAGCGAAGGGCGAGGGTGCAGTGGAGAAGAGCACTGCATTTGACTGGTTCAGAAAATTCAATAACGGCGACACGAATCTCGAAGATCAGTCCCGCTCCGGACGACCATTCTCTATTGATCCAGAGGCGCTGCGCCAAGCCGTCGAAGCCGATACAGTCACAAGTACGCGTAAATTGTCGACCGAGCTCGGAACATCAAACTCCACAATATATGAACATCTTCATCGTCTGGGCAAGGTCAGCAGAAGCTGTCAAAATGGACCGCAAGAATTGACACCAGAACAAGTTCAGCATCGCGTTAACGTCTGCAAAGAATTGCTCGCCAATCCTCGGGACGAACGTTTCATCAAACGAATTGTTACCTGCGATGAAAAGTGGGTCTATTTCAACAGTCCAAACAAACAAAACCAATGGATCAATCGAGATGAAGCGGCACTTCCGGTCCCGATAAGAGGTCGTTTCGAAAACAAGGTGTGCGTTTAGTGGAATTTTGAGGATGTAATCCACTTTGAACTGGTTGCTGATGGACACTCCATTAACGCCAACCTCTATTCTCAACAACTCGAGCGCGTGCATGCTGTTCTACACGAGCGCTATCCAGCATTGGTCAATCGAAAATGGGTAGTCTTGCAGCAAGATAACGCCAGAGCACACGTTGCAGCTCGGACGCGAGAAAAAAGAGAAGAACTGCAGTGGAAGCTTCTCTCTCACCCAGCGTACAGTCCAGATCTTGCACCATCTGATTACCACTTGTTCCGCTCGATGGTCCACTTTCTACGTGGAAGGTGCTTCGTCAGTTTGACGAAGTCGAAAACGGGTGCCGAGAATTTTTCGCCTCCAAGGATCGAGACTGGTATCGCAGAGGAATCGAATTACTTGCAGAACGGTAGATTAAGACCGTAGAACATAATGGTTTATACTTTGATGAAACACCATAATATTATGGTAAAAATGAAAAATAGAGGTGGCGAACCATATTTTGACCCACCGTACGTTTAAGCGGCGTAGTATTCCGTACCCCAAGACCACTGCCAAGGTTCGTTACGTTTCCTACTAACAGATATTGTAGAGCTTTTCAAGGCATCGAAAGGTGGATGAATGATTAAAGATCCTCTTTGGTTTCATCGAAAAAGTGATCAAGAGTTTCCTTGGCATAGGCGCAACCCGCGGAAAAGCCGAGTATTAAACTCATAAAATCTGCTCACATATTGAAGAGGTTCTTAAGGTGCATCGAATGATGTATTGTGATAGGCTGCATATTGGATAGTTACGGAGAAATTTTGATTTTACAGTCATACTGTTGGTGCTAAGTCGTTGCTGATTTTCTAGTACATTCTGTCGGGTATATTCGTCTGAAAGTGCTCGAAAGGGTCGAAATCATCGAATATGATTCTAATGAGTTTTGTACTGATTGTAGCAGAAAAAGTTAGTGGGCCGATTTCAAGTCTTAGACGACGATGTATTGTGGTGCAGTTGTTAGAAAAGTTACCGTCTCAGATCTTCACTTCTATGAGTTTGGTAACACATTAACAACTACTTTGATGATACGTCCGATGATGAAATGATTTATTTTTATGTTGCAACTTAAGTGAGCCTACAGTTTATCTGATGGAAAGTATTGGTATAAAACTGCTTTTTCACACTGATTCTCTGTTTATGTTTGTGCCTTACCAGAAAAACAAGACTGAATGTTACAAAAGATTTTTCTACCACAGCCAGTCGAAAGTAGATCTCTCTTGCAAATTTCCAATTCTCTTTCATTATCATACAAAAAGCGTTACCTGTACTGTGACAGCATATGTATCATTTGCATTATGGCCAACAATAACTAATGTACAATTATGAAAAAGTACGCTACTACTGGGTAATGAATCTGGGGCACAAACCGAGCCGCATTCATTAACAGATGAATTAGTTGCAAATCGACAACGTAAATTATCAGAATCAGCATCAAATACCGGTATCTGAATAGATTGTGGACCATTCACTGGAATAGAAATATATGGCGGCATTGGTGCAATAGGTGCAAAATTTAATCTTCCATTTGGTTTAAATGATAAATCGATTGTACATGCAGTACTCCACGATCCACCATCCTGCGCTGAATAAAGAGTTAATGGTGGCAGGGATGTACTTTGAAAGGCAACACTAAAATAAGATCCCAGTGCAAGGTTTACTGTATCTAATCGTTGACCAATTGTGAATCCTAATGATGTACTATAATCGGTACAGTAGGGTGTGATGGGTACAGGCTGGTAACTACCAGATGTTGAACAATTTGATATACAATTTAAATTAACTCCGTAACCTGTATGTCCTAATAAATCGATCAGTGCTTGATTCCGAACTAAAGTATCATTACAATATATTGTTGGGTAGGACCATAAATAGGTTTGCGTTATTATAATTGTTACATTACCGTCTCCATTTCCAAAACTAGTCGTAGGTTTATATGTAATTGAACCACCGTAAAAGTGATTACTTGCACGAACATTGAATATTATCAGATTAATAAAAGACAAATAACTGAGAAAGGTATTTGTGCTCATAATTCAATCTAAATAGTTAAAATTACCTATAATACTTAATAACGAAGCGCATACACGTAACGAACAGTTTAAGAAAGCGCAGTTTGCGTGAAAGTCTCCTCATTTTGAGCTAGACTGATTCTTTTATTATAGTACCCAGCAGATTAGTTTCAGTAATAGATTATCCTAAGTATTGGATAAAATATTCCGAGTTAAGCTTTTGTTTGAACCTCAAATAGAGCTGCGCGTAGTTTAGCTGCTATCAGTAAAGAGATGTAAAAAGGTCCTAAAAAATTTTGCAAACCTATCTAGTTCTTTTTGTGGAGAGATAAAGTCGAGTTTTGTACTTCATTAGAATCGCCATTAAATGAGCTTTAATAGTAC